TTCCAAAGAGCCTTAACAACCGATTTCAGTCTAAATGATCAACAAAATAGGTAGAATGAGACTAGGCCGTGCATAATAATAATAATAATAATAATAATAAAAGAGCAATTTCAGGCAACAAGTGGAAGCAGTCATAAGTAACTTAAAAAGGAAATGTAAAAAAAAAAAAAAAAGGGCAGCTAGACACTTTATTGCAAAAGAGACAGAATGGCTTCTGCAATAAAACAAACTTTCCTGCCCGTTTGTAATTTTTTTTTTTAGAATGTACCCATAGCTGCACATGCTCAGTGTACAGTCTCAGCATACCTCTGTGCCAGGATGAATAAACGTCTGTGCTCATGCACAGAAGTTATATCATTCCTCACCAGCCGATCAAGACAGCCAAAGACTCCAACACCCAGAAGAAGCCGGGGAGGGTGTGAGCAGTCGCCAGTGAGGGAGCAAGGGGAGTCGAGTTCCATTTTAATGGTTTCCAGCAAATGCTGCAGCTTTGCTAAATCCAGAAAACTCATTCAAAATACCCTAATGTCCATTCTCTGAACCCCTACATCAACAAGCGCACACTGCCCCATACAGGGTCAGAGTAGGAGTGTACTTCCCTAAAGTGTGCACTGTATAACTGACCTTCTCACCACTTCTTGCACCACCAATCACATTTAAGAAAGGTTTTAAATATATTGGGGGCCGTCTTCAAACAAGCATTTTATTTTTAATTTTTTTAATGTAAACATCATGCTTTCTGTATGCGAGAGGCATTCTAAAAGCGTATGTTCCACCATCACAGACAGACATGTTCTAGGATCACAACATTGCCACCAAGAAAAGATTGGTGTACTGTAGCTATGTCTGGATCGAACATAAGTGTTGAGCAATTAGGCTATGCTTTCTATAAACATCAAGATAAAAATTTACATTCTGACCAAAGTGTCAATCAGATAATCAAGAGCACCCCTGTGGTTGTGTTGAGGCAGACAAAATGGATATTTACATGCGACTGTTATGCAAACATAAGATAAAATTGGGAGTTTCCATGTTTAGCATAGTGACAATATTTCTTATATTCTTGAGCCGTTCGCAGAATTAATTTACTTGTTGCCTAGAGATGTGGCAGCATGTTGTTTTATTTATACAGATCTTTTTTTTTCTTAAAAAATGATCAGGACATACAAAAAGGCAGAATGATAAAACCTGCAGAAAAAAAAAGGGTGGTTGTCATAACAGAATCATCCCTTCAACTATTCTCAGTACTCCAAATTAAGCCCGAACGTGTGCTCAGGAGATGGAAGATTAGCAATTACTGTAGACCTCTGCAAACATGACTGCAATCCAGTTTACACAAGTAGCATCATGTCATGCTGGTAGTGCTTTATCTGGCTGTACCCATGGTGCAGTGTACTGGCATAACCAATACACACTTTTCAAACTAATTTCCCAGCCAGTTAAATACTCTGGAGGATTTAGAAATGTTCTTGTAATGCAAGCTCCACTTCCGAGCAGCCATTACTACAGCAATTACGATATCATATATAAAAACATTAATATGCGGGGGACTGCTTCTACCAGATTAAACACATACGCGTTCAGTTAAACATACTACAAGGGTTTAATCAATAAGACCTTCACTTTTGGGCGACTGCATTTTTCTAAGAAAGTCAATTACATCGATGGGCTGATAAAGAAAAATTGATCCAAGATGTTGCCTTTGCCATTAGGTAAGACGTAATGAAGGGTTAAATAGGAAAGCGATTACAGTTTATCTATTCCCAGCAGGACAAAATGTTACAAAGATTAAAAACCATCTCCCATTACTTTATATGGGCCGATTCCTTATAAACCGTTTGATGCGAGCAACGAAAAGGAAAGGAGGGGGGGAGAAAAAGCCAAACAGCCATTTGAAAAGCAAAATCTCCCCACTTAGCGGAAACTGAGAGAAATTGTATGCTTTAATCAGGAAAATTGCACATAACAGTTACACTGCTTTGGCTGGCAAGGAGAAAAAAAAATGTGTATATATAAAAAGATGAATAAAGACCTCCTAGAAGAGGTCAGCAAGCACAAATTGGCAGTCTAATAAAAAGGATCCTTACAGCACACGTGCATCCACAAATAAACAAAGACAGATGCTTCACCAAAATTCGTCTGAGCAGTCGTGTTTTGGTTCGCAAGCCAGCAAGGATTGAAGTGAAGGGGGCACGAGTCTCTGTGAGTGACTGCATCACTAGAGAACAAGGGGGGGATGGGGTGTTAAGAGGATTCAGAGCAGAAACATATTACGGAAAATAAACTGAATCAATGTGTCTGACCTCTCGCACAGAGGAAAGTGACAGCTGAGTTAATGTGATGGAGCCAGAATCTTCTCCATGGATTATGATGAAATGGAAGCGTGGGTGAGTGTAAATAAGAGCATTCCCAATATCCTTGAAACAGATCATTACACATGTCAGGCAGGCTCACGCCATCTGTGTGGCAATGTTCCACACATCTTCCAAGTTCCCAAAAGAGCACTCTGGTTTTACAAGAGCATTCATGCTTCTGCTGTGAAATACAATACCATTGTAATCGGAGATTTATTTTTGGAACAATTGGTGGCACATAACCAGATGATGAAAAGATTTGGGAATAAGAATATGTATGCGTGTATAGCAGGCCAGATGCCTGTATAGACACCATTGCAAATTTCCTCAAATGTTCTCCCAGCAAAATTTGTCTTAAAGGGTAAATCAAATTTGGCAACACTCTTCTGGGTGTAAAGATAATTACCACCTCCGACTGCTTACAGAAGTAGTTACATACCTTACTGTGCTTTGTTTATAGAGGAAGTGCCACACTGTGCGTTGGAGAACAGTATTGTGATCATCACACTTTTTCTTGCTAATGAGCAAGCAAGTGATCGAACCCACCAGAGTTCACTGATTACTTGCCCCTCCCTTTTCAGATTGTAAGCTCTCACTGACAGGACCCTCCCTACCATCTGGTCTTAAAAATTGTATTGAAACTGTAATGTTTCCCCTTATATTGTAAAGTGCTGCGCAAACTGTTGGCGCTATATAACTTCTGTATAATAATATAGTAATAATAAAGTTTAGTCTGAGCAGGCAAATAGGAAAATGTTAGTAGTTCACCAGAAAATGACCCAACCACATTTAAATCACTATTTGTCTAAAACATTTACTATTTTGTGCAGGTAATTCCACAGGTAGTTTGGTTAGATCTAGAGTAGCCTCTTTTATTGTAGCGTATTTACATAAGTTTCAACAAAGAAAACACTAGCAAATCTACAATAAGGACTTTTTTTTTCTCAGCGTTTGTCATGTGCACTCCCATAAAGGGACATATATAGGTATTAAGATACATTATACTAGGCAGAAAAAGATAAGAAATATAGGCTTATGGCCACTAAGACCTGTAATTGTTAAGATTAAATACTAGTTCAAACGAAAGCAGACCATACACCACAGGAATCGCAGATGATTCCTGCTGAATTGGCACCATTCAGCTTGTGGATTTAAAAAAATGGCTGAGCCTGGTGGAAAATTATCAGGTGCCACGGCTGCTTGAACACAATAGCCGTCAGGGAAGATTCCTCCATCCAAGCTGTATGTATGTATGCATGCATTTTTTTTTTTATTATTTAAAAACACAAAAGATAGCATTGCCCTCAGTTACAAAGCGCACACGCAGAAGATCCTTTACACATATGGAAATTAATTAAAAATTGTGGTTACATCATTTTGATGGAGGGTTAAACCTAAACTGCATAGAAAAATTATCTTGAGCTGACTGATGAAAACTGGAGAAAGGAAAAGCAATACAAAAAAAAACTTTTGTCTTTGAAAGTTGAAACTTTTACAGAATATCATCTGATTTCTTTTAAAGACATATGATTGGCTGCTATGGACCAAAACTCCAGGGTCTATACTTATCTTTTCAGCCTCTTTGTGTTCACATGTTTTGTATGAACACATGTTTACCATCTGCAGCTGTGAGATGCCACCTCATCAAATTGCCTTATCCAACTTCCTCCACTTATCAGTATAATACATTCTGAAGTATTAAAAAAGTTACTTTGGCCAAGGGGTGGGCAAACTAAGATCCTCCTGCTGTGGTGAAACTACAAATGCCATCATGCATCTGCCTCTGGAAGTCATGCCTATAGCTGTCAGTCTTGCAGTCTAGTTGCATTATAGCGGAAGTGCCAGCGTTTGTCCACCCCTGCTTTGGGCTATGGAAGTTTGTAATTTACAATACATTCAGAACAAACAATCCAGAAATGCAAAAAAATTAGTTTTGCTACACTGAAGATTTGCAACTTTTTGCAAAGTTAGGTAAGAGGTCCCTGAACTGGCACAGTCCGTGGCTCAGCTATATAGCCACTACTATGCATGTAACAATCAATTAGTTACTGACCACAGAAGGATGGAAGGTGCCGTTCAGGTGAACAGCAGCAGGAAACCGGACTAACACTCGTGTTTTAAATATAGAGAAATCTGGAATGGATTTGATAATTCTACAGGTAGATGAGAAAAACTATTTAAAGTGACACTAAACTCATGAGTTAAATCTTAAAAAATGCATTTAAGTACCTAAACTATTAACTCAAATGTATCTTATTTGTGTATCACTTGGCTGTAGATCCTCAAATCATCTCTGAATTGGTGCTGACACTGTCCTTCCTTTTGGAGGGTGGTTACTTTTGGGGACCATGGGGAACAAAAGCAGCAACGCTCTTTATAACACGGAAGGACAGTGTCTGTACCAATTCAGAGATGATTTGAGGATCTACAGCTGAGTGATGCACAAATAAGCTACATGTTGGTAATAGTTCAGGGCATTGAATGTATTTTTAAGATTTAAATCCTGGGAGTTTAGTGTCCCTTCAAGTAAAAAGACAGTTAGGCTGAAGACTTCCTGGAGAAAAACAAGAGTCATAATTTTTTACACTTTTTAGCCATGAAAAGCTGAATGCGCTGAACTACAGGGTTACATAAAGAAAGCCTTACCTGAGGTTCTCTGCTCAGCAGAAAGTGTCTAGATCGATGAGGTATCAGAGATCTTTTCACCACAGCCCGATGTTGAAAATGATAATAGTCTCCAAAAATCTAGACATAAAAATACAAAGCATTACAATATGAATACATAACTTGACTTCAGCAAGAAACTCAATTATAATCTACGAGTTTGGTATAGCAATGAATGTCTTGATACAATGGATGTTGGTGTCCAACTGCTAATTTCTAGAAAATGAGAGTGTCTACCTGTCCAATTAGTGCATAATTTTGGTATCATTTCTTAAGATCAAGTTTTTAATTCATAAAATAAAAAGGATTTTAAAAAGGATGAGGTTACATTCAAATAAAAAAAATTTCCACACAAATTAAAAAGGAATCTTTCCATTTTCCAAACATTAAAAAATATTGGTACGTTCCTAATCCAGTCAACAGTTAAGTTCATCTGCATCTCTAACCATCCCCTTCCCAAGTAGCTGATGTATGCAGATAAAGAGTATGCTTGTCATAGAAAGGACAGAGGTGCCTGATGTGAAGTTATAACTCCTTTACATTGTTTTAAAAGACAAGAAGGTAGTGCCCAATGAAGAAATAACAGTCCCTGGGGACAGACCGTTTTTGTTTTGTAATTATGCACCAGTAAGTGGTTTATATGCTAATATTTGGTAGGGCTGCAACAACTAATCGACATAATCGATTATAATCGATTATTGAAAAAGTTGTCAACTTTTTCAATAATCGATTAATCGGCTTCCGATCAGTTGGCCCTGTTCACGGGTCCACCTCCTCCCCAACTCACGCTCACCGCTGCCAGACCCGCCCGCATCCGCGCTCTTCACGCCGCACCTCCTCCCCGCCTCACACTCACTGCCCGCCCACATCCACGATCGGCACAGGGACGCGGGGAGATGTAGTAAGGAGGAGCAGGTGTGGGGGGATGACAGCCGCTGATAGACAGGTCCGATCTCAGAAGCAAGTTGCTGGAAGACTGCTCAGGTAAGCCTGCACTTTCCCACACATGGTGCTCTATAATGTATTGCTGGGATTTGTATTCCTCTATAGCTGATGGTACATTGTGCTGTATATTATACATAGGAATACAAATCCCAGCAATGCATTATACACTGTATGTATAATGTATTGCTGGGATTTGTTGTACTCCTCTATAGCTGGTGATATAATGCATTGCGCTGTATAGAGGACTACAAGTCCCAGCAATAATACATTATACAGCGCAATGCGGAATACCACCAGCTATAGAGGACTACAACAAATCCCAGCAATAGTACATTATAAAGTGGTACAATGCTAAATACCACCAGCTATAGAGGACTACAAAACCCAGCAATAGTACATTATACAGCGCAATGCTGAATGCCGCCAGCTATTATGTACTATTGCTGGGATTTGTTGTATTCCTCTATAGCTGGCGGTATTCTGCATTGCGCTGTATAATGTGCTTTTGCTGGGTTTTGTAGTCCTCTATAGCCGGTGCCATTCTGCATTCATTGCTGTATAATTTTACACTTCCCATTTCACTATATTGCACACCACACTATCTTTTTTCTTTTTTACTTCCACCGGTCCAAGCTTGCTCCTGTGATGGACTACAACCTCAATACAAACTAGTAGTCCTATCACTGGAGCCATTTTTTAAACTTTATTTTATTGTTTATCCGATTAACCGATTAATCGAACTTAATAATCGGCTAACTAATCGATTTTGAAAATAATCGTTAGCTGCAGCTCTAATATTTGGCAGTATTTTGTATAAACATTGGCAAAGGAATGGTTTGCATTAAGGTTTAAATTTTCCGACCTGAAAATTGACAGCTAGAATCTGATGAGTAACCACTTCAATATTCATAAAATTTAATTTTTATTTGGATTAAACTTGACTGTTCAATTAAAAGCAGAGGTCCACATTAGAAAGTACTGGTGGTTTTTGGTTTGCTATGTGCAGCACTACTGGAGGTATTAATGAAGAGGGTCTACGACACCCTTTAGTATTCGATGGAGTATGTGCAATACCAATTCATTTTACACCAGACGCACAATTAAGAAGTAGTCAGGGCATGTTTTATTCTGTCGCAGTTCTTCTTTACAGCTTCAAAGGGAGTGGTTTACGAATGAACCTGAACTTTTATAATGAATTTGCTTGATTAATTGCCAAAGAATCAGCATGCAATAAAGCAAGTTTCCATGTACACATGTTTCCATGTATTTTTTTTTTATTTCTACATTTCTTTGGCCATTACCATTCCTAGTATATGCATTCTACTGTTATGACATGACTATATCATAGGAGACTAGTTTGCCTGTGTAATGCTCACCTGCAAGCAAAAGCAGAGAACAGATTCCTCAACTGGAATTGCATTCATTTAACGGATACGAGTACTTGACAAGTAGGGTTAAATGTCAAATGCAAATCAGTGGACTGTTTTGGTAACCTACTGGACACCTAGAAGACAGCTAGGAAACCTCCAGGAGGCCTGCCTGCTATACTGTGTGATAAATTGAGAAGCTGTCTAAAGCAATGCTACAAATCTGGTGCAGGTCAAAAAGGAGCAAAAGAAAACTGGAAGATTTCATATCAAAATTTTTAAATTAGAAGTTACAGAATACAAACAAATCAAAACTAGTCCAAGAATAGGAAATTGTAAAAAAAAAAACACTTTAAAGTAATGTTATTTCAATTTATATTAGTTCCTAACAACCAACCCACTAGATTATTAGTTTACACTGGCAATTTGCAGCTGGATTAAGCAATTTATTGATGTCAGTAGATTTCACATGGCTCGCCTTGTAGATCTTCATGGCTCGCCTTGCAGATCTTCAGAGTTCAACACCCTTTTTTCCTTTTAAGGAAAACAGCGAGAGCTCAAAACGCCCAAAAGGGGAAGAACAGATGCGGAGAAATACCAGGCACACCACAATTATTTTACACAGGTGACCTCTACTTTGCTTTTATAGAACTAGTATTTTCTGCCCCGTCATCACAATGGTCAGCATCTCATGCCCAATTAACAGAGCATAATGGCCCCGATTCATCACACCATGTTTTTCACACCTATGTACCATTGAAGCTTCAGTAATAAGGGGCACTGACTGACCTGTTCTAACCTCCCCTTGTTCTATTTTTGGGTTATGTCTGCTGTTACGGAACAATGCCTATTCTACTTTAATGATAATCTGGGCAGAAACCTGGAAATCAAGCCTCCAGGACACAAATGTTGGGTAGGCCAAATAACACTTAGAACTGCTCAATGTTTAGTAATTTTGTAGTGTAACACTCAGAGGTGGTAGTCTGCTTGGCAGGGACATGAGAACAGCCAATTAGCAGGAGTTCAAAGTGGGACGATTACTGCTGATCATCAGCAGCATTAGATGTATACAAACAAGTTTCCCAGTTACAGTCTAAAGAAACATTTGCTTTAAAAGCTCATCCTCATTATGATTTCAAAAAACAGTACAAAAAAACCCCCTTATTTTATTTTTTTTTAAACCATAACCGCTCCTCGGGTGCTTTAATGTAGGGAAATCAGATCTCCAACCTCCAAGGCTGCTTTGGAGCTGCCGCCCCTATATTGTGCTTCACAGACTAGACACAAGATCTCTAATAAACGACAAGCCATGCAGTAAATCAATATCTGCTGGTCAAATGTGAAATAACTGTAATCCTTATCATACAACTAGCAATTTTCTAAATATCCTGTCATACAGTGACAGAAGCTGATGTATGAAAAAAGCAGAGTTGCTACCCATAGTAACCATTCAGGTTTCAAAATTGGATAATTGTGGTCAATAGGTCCTCGTTTGCTCTCTTTAAACCAGCTTATTTGTGCATGCACAAGAAAAAAGAAATAAAAAGGAGGGGGGGGGGGGGGGGGGTGATGGGTTGCTGTCCTGTAAGATTGCTTGTACCCTCGGATGGTGGTCAATGCATAGACATGAGAAGGCAGCCTAAACTGGTCCATATAGTGTCAAGTTTGGGTACCCAAAGAGCTATATCTATTTGATTAAACACATGTTAACCCATGTACACAGGTTAGCCATTTTTTCAAATAGTGGTAGTTTACATATGTGCTGGCTATTATTGATGCACACTATGGCATATTTAGGACAATGGCAGCATAGGAAATACCACAATTGTTTATAACGCTCATGAAGATGTGCATGGAAAGGCGAGTCCAGCCCAAAAATCACCTTACGAGGGTGGATCGCTGATCAAGAATGATGGGTAATCAGGGATTTGCCTATTTGATACAAAAGAACCATTAAGACCTCCTATAAGGTTTCTTTCAAAACACAGAAAACCTCAACAGATCTACAGCTTGCAGAGACTTTACAACATGCTGGAATAACCAGAGTGTGATAGCCACCAGTTCCAGCACTCACAGCCACACTATAAGGTTGTTGGTAAATTCCCCTATGACCCAACTATCGCAAGCTATGCTCAAATCTGTTGCTAGACTTTGAAATCTCTATATATGGGTTAATAAAACAGATTTTAACTAAAATCATAAACCTATCCTTTTACAGTGGTAAAATGAGAAATATGATCGCAATCTGCCGCAGTATGTCGTTTACAATTATTGTTCACTGTATTTCCTTAATTATTCTCCATTGAAAACCCATTACAAAATGAATTGTAAGCAAGGGCAGAGGCAAATTTTGCCTGAAGATACATCAACACAAGAAAAGAGAAAAGCTCTGAATTGTGAAGGCTGTTGTACTTCTGTTCTCTTTGTGTCTGTTTCAAGCTATACATTAATATGTCTGGAAAATACAGAATTGTTTGGCGATCCAAGCCATTGCTGTGCTTACAGATAAACAAGCTCTCTGAACAACCGCGAACGCCTGTGTCTGGTCTCCAGCAGCTTCTACTGAATAGAACTCTACGAATACGAGACAATGAGAAAGAGTACAGTGTTTATTTTTAGAATGTACAGAATCAATTTAGTTTTAATAAGAGAAGCTTTTACACCCCAAGAGGCCATAACCCCTTTCAAACATGAACTCTAAAGAAGGTACATGCAGTAGATGGCTCTGGAATGTAACTAATGACCCTCCCAGCATGAATGGAAATATTA